TCCTTCTCTGGAGATATTCCAGCCCCGCCTGGACGCGGTGCTGTGCAGCCTGCTCTGGGTGACCCTGCTTGGGCAGGGGGGTTGGACTGGGTGACCCACAGAGGTCCCTGCCAACCCTGACTGTTCTGTGATTCTAAGAAACTCTGCACAGAAAGTAGTTCTGTTCCAAGGTCATCCTGGGGTACTCGTTATTGCAGCCGTCAAGTCTTCATTGCCCTCCGAGCACAGTAACTCCGTTTCACAACTACAAGCAGCGAAGGCTGAGGGACGCTAAGCGCAAAGCAAAACAAACAGTGACACCCCAGAGAGGTTCCCGCTGACTCCCATGCCAAAATTAACACTCGTGTATGAAAACAGTTCTCAAGGCGGCGTTCAGCCGCCCTGCTGTTACCCTCCACCTTTCCACAACACTGCCTCGTCCGCTAGAAACCCAGCTGCCAGAGCACGTCGGTGGCACTGCCCAGGGCCAGAACCAGATCCTGAGTCACCTTTCAGCCAGGCTCCTCAGGCAGCTCAGTGCACATCCACGCCGGGCAATAAATAACACCAGCACCTGGGAAATGGCAAAGGAAGGAAGAAAACAAAACGAAATTCAAAAAACTCTCCTGTTGGGTTCCCTTCGTACTGGTATCCACGGCAGAAAACAAGACGACAGAAAAGCAGGCTCGGGGCCCTGCACTCCGGGGCTCAGCCAAGCACAGGCTAACGTGACTCAGAGCTGCAACTGCAGGGAGGTTTTTGATCAGTCCCAGACAAGACCCTTCTCCCTGTGAAGGAATTTCAGAGATTTTAATGACAAAGTTCTCACCTGTGTTTAATGAGCACACCAAAATAAAATTCTCAACGGCCTGTTATTTCATTTTACTTGGCCAGATTTTCACGGGAGTGACATCTGTGCAAACACCGATACACAGGCAACTGCCCTAAAAAGTAGAGTTTCTGTTGTAAACCTTGTCAGTCTATAGTTGCTTTGGGGAGAAAACACAGAAAACCAGAATACTGATCGCAGACAAAATTTTACTGCTTATACTTGTTCACAAAACCAGCCTATTAATTTGCACTGGAGTTTCATCCACAGGAAAAATTTGAGATGGACATTGAACATGGAGAAACTCCAACCCAGTGTTCCAAATTTGGCAACACTGTGGGTAAGGGAGCCTTTAGTACGTCCTGAGCAGGCGTGCCAGGCCAACGCTGGCCACAATAGCATGGTGTGGTATTTGGATTCGCTGCTTGTTTTCGTAGGGCTTATTCACAATTGTCAGCCTAGTGAAAAAAATTGTGATTTCATCTACGGAAAAATGCTTCCCAAGCCAATAATTATAATCTCCATCACGTGGAATGCTAGAAGAACCCTCGCTAATTAAGTTCACGGAGTTATCAGGAGGAGAGTTAAAGAGGCAAAATCAGACAAAGTTTGAAAGTGAAGAGAGCCACATGGCACAGGGAATATTTCAAGAAAAGGTCGTTTTGAGAGGAAGCCTAGAGATTCTTAGGATACAAAAATAGCACTGAGCCAAACAAAATCGTCAGAGCTGTGACAGGTGACAGCACCAAGCTGACGAATGCAAGGGCTGGAAAGCCAGAGGAACGGTCTGCACAAGTCATACAGACCTGCAGCCCTTGCTGAAATTAGTAGTACGTTCGATATAAAGACCAAAAATAAAGTCAGCTCTAGCTGATTTGGAACAATATGTGAAAAACTACAGAAGAAGGTTGTTGTCTTGCTGCTGCAGCACAGACAAGCGCGCGCTAAACCCTCCGGCTGCAAGCAGACAGCTCGCCGGCCCGAGAGGAGCGGCTGCAGGGAGAGCCTACCAAGCTCGACCCACTCATCTCAACCAACAGTCAGTTCTTCTGTGAAATCTACAGTTCTAAATGCTGAAGCAATAGGAATGTTTTCATTCTTCCTCTCTGTGCTCTTCAGAAGTAAAACATTGTGAGGCAGAATAGCTGAAAGACAGCCTGAACGGTGCTGCAAGTGGTTTTATGCAGTAGAAAATGGGAATAACACGGGTTTCATCATATGGACTCAAACCAAGATAGTTTTTCTCTTCAGGTCTATCTTTAATAGAAATTGATTATGAAAAAAAGTTCTTCTGTTCAGCAAGAGGTTTTTTTTAAAACAATTTATCTTGTACATCCATTTCAAGCAGCTTTTAAGAGAGCTCCCCTGCAAGAGGAACGTTTTGAAAGAAATAAAAACGAACTCCGCCAATGCCAGAGCTGTGATGCCTTTGTTTCTTTTGCAAAATTTATACTGAGAAACAAGCCAACTATCATATATGCCAAGGTCTGCACGGATTTGCACGCCACCTTAAATGCGATTTAGAGAGCTCTTAGAGAAGAATCTGCTCCATGCAGAGCTTCTCTCCCCGTGTTGCTGAAAGCATTTACGTGGTGGGGCATTCACAAGCAACTGATAACTCGGTCTTAGCACAAAATTAACGCCACAGTTATCCAACCAACTGCTTTTTGCTAGCTGAACTACAAACAAGAATGCGTTATCAAGTTGAAGACTGCACTGTTCTTTCATTAACAAGGACCGGTATTAGATTAATCAGTAGGCTTGTAGTGTGCTTCTGCGGTAGCAGGGTACCCAACACAGCTGCCTCCTGCAAATTCAGCCTTCAGAGGTACAGTTCCAGCATGGAGCTGCAATTTTCAAAATTGTCTTCTTTGATTTGGAATGTCTTTTGACTGCTTAACAACACAGAGATGGGGAAAATATTTGGAATATTTAAACTCTTACCTAGCGTATTTCTCTCCTCCACTATTGGAAAGTTTATCCAAATCACCCCAGCTGACTGAAATGCTGACACTTTGGCTCCGAATGTATTTAACAGTTAAACCAGGCACAGCCAGATGCAAACCCAACCAAGCACCAAACCAGGCACAGTCAAATGCAAACCCAACCAAGCACCAAACCAGGCACAGCCAAATGCGAACCCAACCAAGCACCAAACCAGGCACAGCCAGATGCAAAACAAGAGCTCACACCCTTCCAGCAGCCCTTTCTAGGGCTTCACTTGAAGTCCTTATAGGCAGACTCTTCAGCTCTTCAAAAAACCAAGCCACAAAAGTATCCCAAACTTCTCTTAGCATCTTTGATTCCCTCTCCTCCACTCTAAGAGGAAAACGAAATCCACCCAGATCAGCAGATGGCATTAGCTGGCATTATGTGCTCCATGTGCAAAGGCTGCGGCACTCACGTCCACCAGACTTTCCCATGACTTCTGTCATTGCAGCTTACTGGGAGAACTTCCTCTGAAACGATTCCAGGCGGTCCGCACCGCGTGCTGGCACGCCCTCGGGGTGGGCTGCCGCTCTCCTCCAGCTAGGGATGAGCAACAGCAGCAAAAGTTTAAAAACCTCTTTTGAGAAGAACTCTGCTGGGAGCACGAGGCCTGAACAAGCAGACCCAACGTCTCTAGGGGTTTACGCCAAACCAGCAATGGCAGAAGTAACTCAGAAAACACATTTAAGACTTGTTAAAAGTGAACTGATGTCCGGGAACAGTAACCTCGTGTTCATGCAGCGCTGGAGTAGCAAAGGCAGTGCAAAGCCCCAGAAACCTCGGCAGGAGCGGTGAAAGGGAAACCTCTCAAGTGCCCCAACAGACGCATTCACACACAATCTTCACCTCAGTCATCAAGCAAGAGGTAGGGAAGAAATAAATTAACTCCAGGGTCTAAATTCCCTTAATTTCACTCCATCTTCCAAATTCATCCTCCGATGTCCAGGTGCCACATTGCAATGCGATGCCCGAGACGGGCCGAAAAGACTCGGTGCAGAACTCGCCCACAAGCTGCTGCACGCGGAACCATCCAGCGTCAGGGTGCTTCCACGTGCCCAGATTTGGTTTCGAGTATCAGACAGAATTCACCTTTTGCTGACGTTTATAACGCAGTTCCTTTGCTTTAGAAGGTAAACTTGAAACGATCTGTAGCACACTGTTGAAGTAAAGGTTATCATTTCGTCTTTATTATGTTTCCAGTTGCTGGCAGGATTATGTAGCCGACAGTGTTTAGACTTCAGGAGGTGGATTTTAGAGCTTCAGAGTATTTTCTGAATGCAAGCTCACGTTTAAATGAGTATTTCCCTTATTTCTATTAAATTTTAGTAGCAATGGAACAAGCAAGTGCACACTAGCTGCTACCAAAACAGGTTCTTTCCATGTTACCTATTTTACCCACAGATCTGGTAGAAAGAAACGGAAATACATCAGTAGATGGTTTTATCTCCGCACTCATTTACAGCAGGGGCTGTAAAAGTAGATTTATATTGTTATCCTCACCGCAGGGCGAAGTTTAGATGCTGTCAGCGCATACTGAAGAGTTGCATTGTAAAAGATAACTGGATTTATTTATTTTTTCCATATACATGTATGAGTATATATACACACAGGACAGTAGTTGGGTGAAATTAATCTAACTCATGGCAAAACTTGCAAGAAACAGCTACGGTAAAGAAACTGCCCCGGCAGCCTTGCTGCTCATGGCCAGCCCACGCACGTGCCGGGCGGCCACGCCAACCTCCCAGGCCACGCAGGCAGGAGGGAGAACAGAGCCTGGGGCCCCCCTGCAAAGAGCGTTTCTCCACAGAGACGAGGGGAAAAGTAGTATTTCCAGTTTGCAATTACTTCACAGCCCTTCCACCATCATCCTCAAAGCCCTCCTAAACAGGAGGGAGAAGTCTGCACAAGCCCATTCCCGTTTCTCTTCTGCAATACGTCCTTTTTGGACCTTACCCACCCTTCACTTTCAGTGCAAGAAATGTGGAGATCTGATTTAAACATTTATTTTGTATTTGAATTTCATTAAGTTAAGCACTTGTATATTGGTGTTGGCTTAACGAAATCTTTCTATCATTGTAATTAGCAACTGATTGCTTTTTTTCCTCTCGTTTTTAGTGTGGAATTGGATTTTAAACAGCAAGAAGATAAATTACAGCCAGTTTTGAGAAAACTTCATCCTATTGAGGAAACTCAGGTTGCACCTTTGCCTTATTCTCAGGAGAGCTACTCCTCCACTCCCAAGCAAAAATCCAAAACTGAATCAAAAAAGCATGGAAGATGGAAACTCTGGTTTCTTTAACCCAAGTCCATTACCTGTGGAGTTCAAGGCCTTCTTTGAAAAAAAAATACTTGGAGTTCTATAATCAGCTATAACGGGATCTCGGTAGACTGACCAGTGTTACCGGCCAATGTCCTCCTGACCGTTCTGGCAGCGTTCAGTTCTCACCGTATGTACCAAAAAGGCCTTTGTACCTATGAACTCGTGTCCGGAAGCAAGGCGTTGGGTAACACCTTGCCAGCTTTTATTTGCAGTTCACCAATGTGGGATGTAAAACCTGAATTGAAATTTGTACAAAGATGGAAAGTAAAACTATTCTCCCCCCCCCTTAGATCCGAAAGCGTCACCTTCTAACCTGTTAAATTGTAGGCTGTCATCCTGTACACAGCTAAATATCACTGTTCTTTCAAAGCCTTTTGGGGGTCTGGTTTATTGTCTTTAAACAACGAGGGGAAAAAAAAAACCAAACAAGCAAGCCTTACGTTTGCGATGGTCTTCAGTTTTACAAATCCATGTTGATCGGGGAGTGCAGTTTTCAGCACATATATCCTGGACAAAGCACAATTTTTCATGTGGTCCGAGACCACGAATAATCTCTAAGATGTGACTATATGTATATTTGCCTTCACGCGACGTAGACTTCAACCGAGCGATCCCATTTCGACAAGGCACCATCATTTCTAATTTCGATATGTCCTCGTCACCAGGCGAACAAGTCCGCTGCTCATCTCCGAGGGGGGAGCACCTGGAAACCCCCCCGAGTCAGGACAAGCCTTTAACCACAGCGGGCTGACAGGGTCAAGGCTACGGGACAATCAGCTGTCCGCTTCTAGCCTTTTGGTACCCAAAAGGCCTAAATGACACAGTCTGGCACAGGAAAAAAAAACCAAAAACAAACAAAAAAACCAACACAAGCCCACAAACAGAATAAGTAACAGCTCCACGGATTGTTGGCATTTGCCATAATTTAATATCTTTTTGCAGTGCAGCCTTTGGAAAGCCTCTGCTGCAGAAGGCACCAGAAAATTTATGGTATGCATTACGCTCTCAGACCTGTCGGGAAGGAGCAGTGCTTTTAAACGCTGTTTCTTTACGAAGCTTCTCAGATGGGTTTCCCAACGTATTATAATTTATATCTTCAATCTATTAATTGTACTTGCTAACCAACACACTTAGGGAAGAAATGTGAATCCATTCGCCCACCACCACCACTTTTTTTTTTACACCACAATTAAAATTTTGCTCTGAATCACAGCCTGCAACTTTTCCCTTAAGTATTTGCTCCTGTCATTAAACTTGCCTCTGGAATGACCGCTTGTGGAAAAATTTCTCATGCTACAAGTGGCCACGGAGTGGGAATCTTTTGGTCTTGTTTTATTTTGAAAGGATTTCAGATCATTTGAGTCATGAAGTGTCATGTGACAAACTGGCCTACTGAGAAGTGGTTTTGAAATTGCTTACCCTGCAGCATCAGCAACACACAAATTCTTCAGCCTTTAGGTGGAAGAAATGTAATCCTTAGCAGAAGAGTTTAACATACCAAAAAAGTGGAAGTGTTTCCACTGACACTATTTTTCCTCTTAGCTCAGCATCAAATCGATTACGGCAAGAAAACTTGAGGAAAACAACTTCTTTCCCCCTGCCCCCAAAGGAAAGAGCAAGCAAAGGGTGTTCTGTTGGGCACAGAGATGCAGCAGCTGCCTGCGCCCACCTCCAGCTGAATCCCAGCAGGCTTTAAGGGAGAGCGGTCACCTTGGCAGGCAACCTGGAAGAGAGCAGAAGCAAACAATATCCTGAAATACTCTGGAGAAAGCTGGAGGATTAGGAAAGGCGATCCTGTGCACCAGGGAGGAAGTGCCATGGTCTCGCGTGGAAAAAAATGGTTCATGTATTTTCTACCGTTTCTAATTGAAAATATAAAAACTGTTTACAAGACAGCCTGCCCTACATGTTTCAGAAACCCACAAGTACTTCCAATCAAGAAAATATATATATTTTTTTTTTCCTAAACAGAAAGAAATATCAAATACGGACATAACAAGAAAGATACAAGAGTACTCAGTATTATTTTAAAATAGTGTTAATAATTAACGGACTCATCCATGCTAACATGCCTAGTGTTTGTGGTTTCTTTTTAAAAGAAATGAAATCAAGCAGCTCTCGACGGCGATCAGTCACAAACCGTCAGCGACAGCGAACCAGTAGCTTTCCCCATAAACCCACTCCCAACGTTCCTGTGCGCAGGGACTCTGACACAAAGCTGAACTGCGTTTATGTGCGGTTACTGACTCACTCCGAGACCAATATTCTGTAAGCATTTAAAACGAGAGAGGAAAATTCACTGGTGAAACATATAAGAGCTAAAAGTGAAAGTTCTCACGGCGTGTTCTGTACATGTCCAGGCTATTTTCTTAAGAAGTTGCAAATTTTTAATTTTTTACATTTTTTTAAAACTGGAAAAGCTAACATACATATAGTCTTGCTTAAAATTACATATCGTGTTCTACCGTACCATACAATGTAATTTGTAATAAAATGTTTTTGCAAGTGTGTAAAATGTATCATATTGTATTACATTTAGAGTCACTCAGGCTCAGGTCAGGTAGACACCGAGAGAAAAACCGAATTTGTTAGAGCTTTTAAATGTGACCGACAAAGCTATTTTCACCCCGATGTAGAAGATCTTACAAAACACAGGTATGGGGTTATAACGAAGAAAATGCATCTTCGCTTCCAATCCGGCACATAGCGGAGCTTTGCTGAGTTCACTGACAATACCGTGCACTTCCACACACTAATTTGCTACATGCACTTCTCCCATATCATGCTTAACAATACTTTTTAGTCAATAAATACTGCAGTGCTTTTATATTACTTGCTATTTTCTGAGTCCGTATAATTCCCATTAAGCAACAGTTACATTCTTTGTTTTAGAACTATTAGGAAACACTATTCATGTGAGTATCACTTGTTTTCTTACAGGAAAAAAGTCACTGTAATAATAGTTTAAAAATCAGGATAACCTGAAAAAAATAATGATTAAAACTGAAAAATCCTACCATCGGTACAAAGTGTTTGCTTTTTCTTGCTTAAGATGAAAACCACCATCTACGCCTTTAATTTTACTCCATGCTTTAAAGGTTAATCACTGTTTCAAAATCAAGTATGTTCATTTTTCATGAACACTTTCAAACCAAGTATGCTGTCAGATTATTCCATTTCTTTCACTTCTGTATAACAGCACGCACTCTCTGCTACTACCGGAATTTGTTAACTGGATTGCCACTAAAGCTCTGACTGCCATACCGACACAATTCTGCTCTGCTAGAATGAAACAGACTGCAGGAAACAATTTCTGGTATCACTTCAGCATCCATAAAATACAACTGTGGCTTATTAAAATAACTGGAGTGCTAGAAATGAGCTGTCGGTCGGTTTAGGAGGCGGTTTGCTCCCGATCAACGCTGGCAGGGCAGGCTCCGTGCCCACGCGCGGCGGCGGCGGCCGTGCTGCGTCTTACAACACGGATCGGCTCAGTGCGAGTGACGGAACAGAATCACGACCGTCACCCAAATACTGCTCGAGTTCTTGTGACATTAGTTTGCAATACCTAACTTCAAATGTTTTTGAAAGATAGGAAAACAAGCAATTCAATAAAACTAAGTATAATTTTTCACATCATAGAAGCCCGGTGAAGAAAACGAAGCTTTCTCCCCAACGTTTTGGAACCCGTTAACCCTATACCTGACAGATTTTAAGGCACAGCAAGACAATTTACATCTAGCTTCAGCTCCGACATAACTTAATCCCCAGAACTCTCTCCTGCAACCCTCAATAACTCATGTTTTACTCGGACTTAGACTCATATTTCACTGCCTTCCAGAAAGGCGTCCTGCCTGGAAGACGCCAAGAGATGGAGAATCCACTGCTGTCTCCGACGGGTGGATTACTCCGGCGCTGGCTTCCCATGCCAGCACCACGCTTGCTGCTCTCCACGTCTCGCCCTCCAGTGCTGCCACCAGCTCCTCCTCTTTCCTCTGACAGGCGTCAGCTTCACCCGACAGAGAGTATCCTTCACGACCACCCAGGGGCACCTCGAAATCTCCTTTCTGTTAACCTCGGGTGGCTTTCGCATCTCACACCACAAACCACTCACTGTCTCCGTGATGGTTTCTGCAGCATTTCTGCTTTGGTTTTAAAGTGTAGAGGGGGAAACAAAAAATCGCTGTGGAAAACACTCCACTCATCAGTAAAGTCAGAAAGTCCTCTGCTATCCGCCGCTTCCCAGCCACACATCCCAGGAGAGCCTAAACCAGCATTTTTCCCCCGATCACAGCAGATCTTCACGCTGACTTTGTTCACCACGCGCCACGGTTTTCAGAGCCACCGCTGTTAAGGACAGAGTCCCTTGGGAGCAGAGCCACTGCCCACGCTCTTTGCCCTTACATCTAGGAGCTAGATTTTTTTTCTCTGTATCAAAGTGGAATTTGATTTGTTCCGCCATGTAAAGCCACCAAGACTGTCTGCTTCGCCGACAGTGACCACACGGTCGCACAAACCTGCCAACAGAGGCAGCTTCCAAACATCGTACGTGCAGGGATCCAAAAACCCCATCTGGCTGTCCTTTCCGAAACGAAAGGGTTCAGCAACGAGCTTGTTTTTCTTGGCTTTCTAAACGAAAAACGGACCAGGCTGCTGACCACGAGCAAGCAGGGAGCAGTCACGATTCCTTCTGGCCCCACCATCGTGGCCGGTCAGTTCTGCTGTGCTGAAGGAGGCCAAGACGCCGGCTCGCGTGGAACGCGACGTCCTGCTAAAGCTACTCGGCATGGGAAGAGATGGTTTGCAATTCTCCTTCACAATCGACCCAAGGAAGCATGCTCCATCTTTTTATTTTCAAGCGACATGTTCTCCAGTAGGAAAGACTTCATGATCCTGTTGCAGGTGCCATAGCAGGAGCAGGTCGAGGGGCGCGCAGAAGCAGCCCCAAGCAGCCAAGCCCTGGGAGCAGGAGTGGTCCC